ACGATCAATTATTATTGCCGTTTCGTAATATATGTATATACGTCATTTTAACCCTTAGTCCTTTCGACGGTTCTTTTCGACACCTTTAATCCCGACTCATGGGTCTTTGCGTTATTTGGATCGGTAAAAACGCTTTGAAAAATCTGAAGAAATTCATGGAGCTTCGTGCAACCCTCAACTTGAAGTCCCAATCGTAATATTTCGATAAACATTATTTTTTATATAGTTTGTTATTAAGAAATCAGGTCGTCACAGCGAGCACAACGATCTCACCGCGGACGCAAACGAGTCCCACGAGTCGGGACTAAGGGTTAAATCAATCTGACAAAACATCGGTATTAAATGTTTGCCGCACATTTAAAACTCGTGTCACGGTATGTATAACGTGAAATATAACTGGATATGCGTTTAGAAGCTCGATTACGCGCGAGGCGCATTTACAAGTCGCCGAATTTTTTTCTCCCCTCTTGTCAGTCAATACCAGTAGCGACGGCACTTAAACGCTTTTACCAGAAATCATGTAGCACGGAAATATCGCGCGACTCACGCGACGCTTTAGATGTCCGCCAATACATAATGTATGGATACGTACGTACGTGAATAGGATGACAAACTTAACCTCCGAGCGCAAAGGAGTAGGATATACGGTAGAAGCTGCCACATCGGTGGAAAAGTCCGAGAGAGGGTGGCAGAGGGCGGCGAGGGGAGGAAAGAGGAGGGAGATGGATATACGGAGCTGCCGAACGAGGCGACAGCTGTCGATTTCGTGCAGCCCTTGTGCAGAATGCGCCAGTGGAGTTGCAACCGACTACCCATAAATAACGCGCTCGTTTCTGGAGCGCGCGCGCGCGCGCGCGAGGAGGAAGGAAAAGAAGAGAGGAAAAAAAAAAGAGAGAGCCAAAGCTTCGCGCGCGAGAAGTGGAAGGACGACGAGGGGTGGCAGGCAACGTCAGCGACGTCATGCGAACGTCGTCGTGCGCGAGGTGGCGTCGCGCCACTCCGAGGCGCGTTCGTGCTCGTCGACGACGTGGCGGGATTAGTTCATTACCCGTGCGTTATACTAATCGTGTTTACGCTTCGCCTGATCGATGTGCGGTGAGCAGAGGGTGATTATCCGTCGCCGAGTAGCTCGCTGCGATGAGACACGATGACGCGTGAGGAATCACAAACTAGCAAAGTCAGCTCGAGAAGCGCGTGGCGTGGCGCGGATGAAATATATTATTCTAGCAGGATTTGGGTTCGATATTAAAAGTTCGGGAAATCTTGAAAGGAAAGGAAGAAAGGGAGGGAGGGAGGGAGAGAAAAAAAAAGAGAGGAAATATTATCCGAGGAAAAAAATATCAGCTGATATTAGAAGAGTAGTTTAACGTAATTATACTCACAATTATTTTCAAACGATAAATGCTACTCCCAAGTATAATTAGCATGATTCATTGTAAGATGATGGAAAATAATGGAAACTTTCCGGAATAACTTCAGAAGCCTGGCACATTCATTAAGAAGTCAGAGGAAGTAGAACTGCGTGACGAAAACCTATAAATCGTTCATGTAATTGCGCGCAACGCGCTGCGCAGTCTGTTATTACCGAAGACTGATAACGATAATGTTCGCACAAACCATGTGCCGTACGCCTTAACTACAGCTTCTGAGTATAAACGTCATGTGAATTCCGTCTACATCATTTCGCATAAAAAAATAAAAAAAAAAAAACGAAATGTATGACCTAATGTTCGAGTATTATGCTAAAGTGTTGAGCACATAATTGTCGTAAAGTACATATCTTCTATTTTGAAATATTTAAGCTTAAGCTATCATAAGCGGGTCAGGTCAGATTATATATATTTAGAATATTTTATAAAGTTAATATCTATAAGTACTTAATTGACCTTATTAGATTAAAAAAATTTTATATCGTATACAGTTAACAAGTTTTTATTCAAATCAAACCTTAAAATGTTTAAAAAATTAATAATATTACAATTAAAAATTATTTAAATTTTACAATCTATATTATTTGCAATAAAATAAATCAATATATACCTTCAAAAAATATTTTCAAGCTTGATACTACAAAAATATTTGAATGGAAATAAATTAGTTAAAGAGAAAACATGATAAGGTTTATTGCGTGATATTAAAAATTACGAATGATGAAATTTCGTAAGAAATAATTTTCCTTGTGTATCAAGTTCGAAATGTCGCTGTAAAAAATTAACTAAAGTCTAATGGTTAGCTAATAAACACGTATTGCACAATTCTCGGTCAATGTTTTCCCATCCGAAAGAAACCCGGACAAATATCCCAACGCTATTTCTATCTTATCTTCCTGCCGGGCGACGTTCCGGACGGTTGTTAGATACGAACAGTTTCCACGGAAGAGCATTAGCGGCGTTATTAGCGCTAGTTAGAGGATACGCTTTGGTGAGAGATGAGAGCGGTGTATAATTATCCAAGACTCTTCCCCTACTTGGCTCAACAGACGAGGACGACGTGTTTATGTGGCGCCGACTGAAGGAGCCTGGCAGAGTGTCTTGTATTATCTGTGACATCAGACCAGCTCGACGACGACGAGCCGTTGAAGGAGGGTAGTGAAATGAGTGTAACAAGTAATCCAGAATTTCTTACGCGCAGCAGCTGCTCACAAGAAATTACAAATTCGACGATATTTACGCGTAACGTCGTGAATTTATTACGATATTCAAGAGGGTATACAAATGTATCCTGTGTGATAATATACCTATACGTATAAATCTACGTTAAAGAAAATATATGTATACATACTTTTTCTCTCTCTCTCTTTAACAAGCTCGTCGTCGTCAAGCTGATGACACAGATTTTTTAAAATAGAGGCATGGATCTTTGTCATTTTATTTGCATAATTTTATTATGCGCATATTTTTGTATTTAATTGCCGCAAAATAAATAACAGATGCTTTTATTTAAGAAAATGTGCTGTTTAATTTATGAGATATTTCGTGTAATTTGGCATTTTCAGACTCGATTAAAACTTTAAATTGATTGTTATTAATTGCTTCTTTTACTCGTCCCACATGTATAATTAATTTTGGAGATTCATGACTTTTGATTAAAATTTTTCAAATCGTGTTCTTTTGATATCAATTTGTGATGTAAATTGATGCTTTATTATCGCTACGTCATGTTCTATATCCACTGGCTGTGTCTTCTCCAAATTTCATGTTAATATTATGCAAGTAGTCGTCTCTTAGAGCGTTTAATTAAAGTGCCGAATTAAATCAGGTTACACGATAATGTAGGATTCAATAATCAATACGAATTACGTAAATCACCTCCCCTGTGTGGCACATGCAACACACAATCATGGTACACGCAACACAATCCTATAATTTTGCGAATAGTAATGAGAGGAATTGACACTCGAATTTCCATGAAACAATTGATATGCATTTCGATGCATCGCTAACACATCCGTATCCGCCAACATACACCACTGCCATTACCACTTCAATCCATTTTAGTCGAATTCATTAATCGTTACAATATGCATTAGATCTCGTGCCGTGCAAGCGTTTTAAACGTTTTCGTATTAAATTTATTTCGGTATTAAATTTCATCCACGTGTCGCGAATATAAAAAGCCATTTCAATGGGTTCACTGTAGGTGGAATGTTTTATATTTACAAAGGCCTGAATATCCGATAAATATGTGATCAGTTTTTTTTGTTCAGTGTAAGCTGACATGCGTAATTTAGAGTTTGAAAAAGTACAGATACAAGACAATTTATTTTTCATCATTTTTCTTCGCCTTTCATTCTTTGTAAGAAATGTCTAACAATGTTGGTTGTAAAGCTTGTCGAAACGTTTTACTCGAGCGTTTTGTTAAATGACAGGATTTGAAAAATGGCTCCGTTCAGGCAAAATGAAACTTTTACCTCGAAATGTGTTATCTTTCATTTTTTTCCCTTTTTCTTTGTCGGGCGTTTTCAAAGCGTAGGTGTCGACAGACTCTAAGTGTAATTACATTTTGTAACAGCCATAAAGCTATAAATATCATCAGCTACCTTCGGAAAAAAAAAAAAAAAAAGAAAAACGAAAAATGTAGCCAGATTTATGTTAACTTAAATACTTGTTAGTCAAAGGCCTTTGCTTACTAGGGACAAAATCTATTCTTTAACCATTTATACCCTTGTTTACAGCTGCGCTTAAGAAACGATAGATCTTCCTATACCTGTTCGTATATCTTTTTATTGCGGATAGTTTTATAACGCCTGAGTAGATGCTAACGTATATCTCAAGCGTAAGAGAGTGCATCATCGTCAATGCACGAACAAAGGCCGTTTAAGTGTATAAGATGGTTATACTCCTTCACGCTCTACTTACTCGTATATTATATTGTTCGATACTTTATTGCTTTACGCACCAGAATTCGATATGTGGAGAAATAAAACGTTAGCTTGTACACGCTTGTAATTTCTATTACTCTTTTTCTTCCTCTCTTCCTTCGAACTAATTTTGCCAAAAATATGTATAACTAAAATTGAACTATGTCAAGTATATAACAGACGTAAGTAATAATACAACTCATCGACATAAAGCGCAAAGAGAAAATTAAATTCGAATTTCAGGAAACGTATATACGCGATCTAGTTTCTCGCGTGCCAATATTTTATTTTTACGCCAACGTACCTAGAAACAGGCAAGCTCGCAATTTCCTAAGAAGGGATACAATCCGTAGAGAGCAATTTAACGATTAGGAATGCAACAATCTCATACGTAAAGCCTTATCATTTCGCACAATCGCGTATCGTGAGATCGTGCAGGTGCCGGGGCGTTATACGGTGGCATCCATACCTCTTTAACACAACGCGCCACGATGCCGGCGAGAGAGAGAGAAAGAGATAGGTAACAGAGAGTAGCGGGTATACACGGAGAACTCCCTCGGCGGTGTGCAGGGTCGTGGTGGGAGTCGCGAGAGGGCACCCAGCGCCGGTTGACACGTCGTTGGCCGGGTCGCTCGCACCCGGCAAAAGTGTCGGCGTAGCGCGAACCGACAACGACCACCGTGTCGCTACGGCGGCCGCCGCCGTCGCCGTCACCTTTGCGTTCGCCTCTCTTTCGCCCGCATTGGTTAGTCGTTGCCGCTCGTGGTGTTTCGTGTCGTTCCGCGCGTCGTAGTCGCGATACACCGTCCGGCCGGCAGCGACGAGGAAGGGGCATCTACGATGTTGTCGCGAGGAGAGACGCGAGGAAGGGGAAGATGCTCCCCGGGGGAGCGCGAATCTGCGGTGTACGGTAGGGGAAGTCAGCTGAACGCCGCCGGAGAGTGGTGAGGGTTTGAGCGACGAGAAGGGCAACCGCGCTCCACGTCGACTGCGGCGAGCGATTCAGTTGCGAGTCGAACCTCATCGCGTCGACTTGTCCCGAATTATCGTACGTCCGTACGGTCGCTCCGTAACGCGACTCGCTTTTCTTTTTTTCTTTTTTTACCGTGTGTCATTCATACGTCTCGAGGCGGATGTACTTTCCTGGTGCGCCGACCACGACGATCTCCTCTTTGTTGTTTGGTGATCGTCGCGCGACTGATAAGTGTCATTTCGTTATCGAAAGTGCAACCTCATGCATGGCTTCGTTCGCGAGTGATACCACCACTGTTTCGTCGCTGCGACGGATATAATAAGAGAGAAAGGGAGGGAGAGAAAAGTGCGACGGATTCCCCGGAATTAGTTTCGCCGATGAGCCGAAGAGTGTGGTAGAAAAAAAAAAAAAAAAAAAAAAGTGGTGCTTTCGTCGAGTACAACCGACGGTGCGAGCGAGGATCGACCGCGAAAGATGCTGACGTCCAGCGCGAATCAGTATCTCCGTCCTGAATACCTCACGCCGCTACCTACTACGGTTAGTCTCTACCACCACGTTATCCGCTTTTCTCTTCTCTTCCTCCGTCGCTATTTACGGGAAGTCCATTATATCCTCTATTCCTGTTTACGTCTCGAGTTAACGATTTGTCGAGACGCGTATATCTTTCAACGTTTAAACTCTTCTCTTATTTAATGACCGATAATTCTTAGCGACTGCCGCTTATTTTTTTAACGCGGTGTAAAATTAGAAGGCACTAAAAATGTAATAACGTAGATATTTATACTTTATATCAAAGCGAAAAAGAATGATATAATATTTATATATATATATACTTTGATATAGATAATTATAGATGGGTATATATATATATAACATACACTATACTTAATTGTATATAATATATAAATTAATAATTTAGAAATTGCAGATAATTTTAAGAAACAATTATCAACTGCGCGTTCTAGTTTTCATAAATGTTGCGAAAATAGATATGTGATTACGAGAAAATTAATTTTACCGCTATAACTTTATGTATGTAATGTTTATGTTATTAATGCAAATGCAGTTAGTCATATTTGAAATGTCGCCTATATGAGTCTCGCTTGAAAATATCTTTCCCAGCGGCTCATTAACGTCGCCTGTCGTCGTTTCGTTAATCCCGACGGGAAACATGCGCGCCGCGTTTTATACTCCGGACTCCTGTAAACTATTTTGGGGACAGCGAGTGTTGGCAAAGTCTCGGCGTGCGTCGCGCTGATTTACGCGCGTCATAAATCAAAGCACGATTCGGTAATACAATGCTGATTGTTGCACGCGGGGGATGAGATGGAAAAGCGAGTGGTATAGAGTTCGATCGACTCTTGGATATATATCCGGTACAATCGAGGTGCATTAATAGTGCGCATTTATATATTTGCTTGTCAAATTTCTCTACAATATTTCAACGCATACTTATTCACGTAATTAATTGTGTGTAATAATAATTTAACTATTCTCTCTTCATCACCTTTGCAAACGATATAAAAAATCCTATGACAAATATGCCTCGTGGATGCGGACATAAATATAGTCGGCAACGATCAAACATCCGGTGATTTTTTTCAAGGCACTTAATCTCTACGTAAAACAACTTTTTTTATTTTTCCGTAACAACTCTGTCGATATATTTTTGGAAAGCCGCACTTGTGTGCGAATGTAAAAAAACGTCGAGGATAAAAAAAAAAGCCAGCCGAAGAGCCGCAGGATTTCAGTGGAAGTCACGTAACACACGCGCGGACAAAAGGAAGACGTATGTCACGAGAGGGGCATAAATTAGTCGCGACAATCAAAAGCCGGCGGGTGGCATTAGCGGATTAAAATATTACGTTCGAACGTTCCCGTTAACTTTCACGAGCGCAATTAATATATAGCCTCGCGTTGCCGTAATGGCCTGTTGCAATTCACGGCATTAATATCTGTCGGCGTCGCGCCATTAGTACCGACCGGCCGTGAGCGGCGGATTAGTGTTGCATGATCGTTGCATTTTAATTACGGCGGAACATCTGTTCGGTGAACGTATCAGTCGACGAGAAATATCGCTCCTCTATACGTTAATTATACCGAGTGCATCATCGTGACCGCCTCCCGAGTCGGAAGATGCGCCAAGGCGCCGATATTAAATTCCCGCACTTACACGCTAATGACGTCTGTGTCGGCCAATTGCATATTGATTATATTCCCCCTCCCGGCATGCATCTCGCTCTTAAAAAGGAAGAAAAAAAAAGTAATTCGCGCAGATAATTATCAACGACGTTCCACGCCGTCGTGTATTTCGAATTCTTGAGATATTATGAAACGCACGTGCATCGATATATCTTTTTAAAATTAACCGATCGATTTTTATCACGAAAAAGGATATTATTACTTATAATCTGATGCATTCAAGAATAATTATGTCAAGTTATATATATATTAATATTGCTGCTATTAAGAATAATTCAGTTTCGACGAAGATAGATTGTGTTGGACATCTTGTAGATCTTCTAGAAATATACATTGCTCGCGCCTAAAAATATTCTCGATAATCAAATTAAGCATCCTGGCGAATAAGTGTGTCCGACGCACCCTTTATTCACGTCACTTCTCATTCGGCGAGAGAGTGACACGGCGTTATAGATTGCGGTTTGCGCGTCATTAATTGGACTTGCCTCCATCCAGACGCGACACGCGCCAAGTTTCGAGAATTGTCGGATCAAATATTGCAACGTAATTGTTGAGCGAAATTCAGTCCGATATACTGCATTCAAAAGGAGATCGATTAGACTCGAAACCGACAACTGAACAATTAATACTAATGATTATAACATTGCGGATAGATGGAAAACGTTTTGTACATCAACCGATGTTAATCCAGTTATACAATGTAAAATTATTTTGTTAAAAAATATAAGTCGTTTGTTTTAATAATCGGGTAAAAAAATAAGGAATTTATAAAAACGCATGATATACATCTATATATAATATGTTCAGCTTACACAGAGCATGTTGTTTCAAACAAAAATTGCAGAGATTGTATGATCGACATATATTTTAGTGCATAAAAATTTTTATATATATATATATATATATTTTATGCGATATTCGCGGAAGATTAATTTTTTTCCTGATGTGGAAGCTTATAGAATATTAACAAAATGTTGAAAACTGGGCTTTATCAATATAAATATTTCAGCCAAGATTACAGAGTTTCATTTCATATTTAAAAAATTGTGCTTTCAGTTAGATGCAAAGAAAAGTCCACTCGCGCTGCTCGCACAGACCTGCAGCCAGATAGGAGCGGATCCGCCGTCCAACAAATCGCTGCTAAGTTCCTTGGACAAATCGTCGAGCAGATCATCCAAGACCGCGGAGCAATCGCGCGAGAAATCGTCGCCGACGGTGACAGTAACGGTGCCAACGACGATCGAATCGACGAAAACCAATTTCAAGCCCTACGAATCTTGTCTGGGACGCGAAAAAGCGTCCAGTCCGGACGAGCCGCGTTCGTCGTCGAGTCACTCGACATCCGGCCGATCTCGAACACCCGGCAGTGGCGGTAAACGATGTTCTAGCAATCAAAGCGCCGCGTCGACGCGCGCAGTCACGCCGCAGGGTAGAAAAACGGCGACACCGAACGGAGAAGTCGCGCGGGACTCGCCAGCTTCGAGAAGTTCGATACCGTCGAGCAACAACAACACGGCGGAGGCTGCCGTTACGAGTCAGCCAACCGTCAGTAGCCCCTCGTTACAAGCGAAACCCGCCTACAGTCCCGCCGGCGTCCTCGCGATGACCGATCCATCCATCAAGGATCTCCCATTGGGCACGTTCAAGCCGGGCGTCAGTCTGCCAGTCTCCACCGCCGCCTACTTAGGCTACAGTCCCGGTCAATTACCCATCGACGTGATGGCCAGCTCGCTAATGTCCCAGCATCACGCCGCCCTGAAGAACGGCCTCGTAGCCGCCAATCCTTATCTCGGTTACGCGCGACTGAAGACCACCGGTGGACCCGCGGACAGTCTGATGCCGATATGCCGGGATCCCTACTGCACCGGCTGCCAACTGAATTCGCATCTACTGTCGAGCTCGGCAGCAGCGACCAACGCGGCCGTCGCCAGTATCGCGAATGGAAAATTGCCGTCGGGCGCGACACCGGGTTCCTGTCCGGCCGGATGCGCCCAGTGCGATCACAAACCCGGCAGCGTTTCGCCTTACGGGCCGCTCGGCGCGGCCGGCGCGGTTTACGCGCACGCGCAATTAGCCGCCCTAGCAGCTGGTACCCAGCTACCCTACGTATGCAATTGGATTGCGGGCGATACCGCGTACTGCGGCAAGAGATTCTCCACCTCGGAGGAGCTACTGCAGCATCTCAGGACTCACACGACCAGCGGAGCGACCGATCCTGCGAGCGCGGCCGCCACGCTATCCCTGCTGTCGCCTCCGGTCGGATTACCCCCGACTCATCCCCTGTTCGCCAGATCCTATCCCACGCCGCCCCTGAGCCCGCTCGCCACCGCGCGCTATCATCCCTACGGGAAACCCTCGCCGCTCCTACCGCCGTCTTTGTCGTCGTTGGGCCTGCCGCTTCCGCCGCCGCCGCCGCCGCATCCGCACGCGACCGCCGGATTACCGCCCTATTTTTCGCCGTACTCCATCTACGGGCCCCGTCTAGGCGCCGCCTCCGGGATGCATCAATGAGTTCTCGGTTACGAGCACTCGTGAGCCTAACGCTTGCGAGGTGAGTTCACCGGCGAACCTGTGATTTCTCTACGAATTCGAGAGCACGTAAGCGAGGAACGCCGCGCACGTGTTCTTGTAACGTGATTGCTTGGGTGTATTTACAGAGTTTCGTAAGGAAAGGTCTGAAGTTATCGAGCGGATATCGAGGCGCGGTAGGATTGTTTTTTTCTTGTTTTTTATTCGTTTTTCTCAATTACTCGATGGTCTGCGTCTTCCGCAAGTTGTACGCTAAGCCTTTTTTTATCTTGTAATTGAATATTCAGCATAGAATTTAAAATATTGAATAATGTGTACATACACGAAACTTCTATACACTGAAAACAAATTTGTTAACTTGACTGAACCTTTACTAAATATTATTTTGTTAATTGAACGTATAAAAATATTTAAATTAAATACAACATTAAATCTTAACAAAACGTAAATTTGACTTAATTACTAATATATGTTCAATTAACAAAATAGTACTTTAGTTGAAAGGTTTAGTCAAGTTAATACATTTTTTTTCAGTGTACTTCTTGTTCTTATTGTTAGACGTAAATCATTGCTGTTTTCATGTTGACGCAGCCAGGATTTTGATATATTTAGATAGTTTAAACTCTTTAATAAATATTAAATTGAGAAAAAAGAAATCGATAAATATTCACTTAAGTGTTACTTTGCAAAAACTATTTCTTTTGATAGAAAGAGTTCTATATCCAGTCTTTTGGTGTCAAAATGGCTGCGTATCCCTACCTCAAGCTCTCTTTACAGGAATAATAATCTATTTTTGTCAAAATTGCATTGCACTCGAATTGCATTCAGGATGATTAATCCTCGTTCAGCAGCGTCCAAGTAATAATGAATATGAAATGTAACGAGCAGGCACTTGCTTGCATTTGCCGTCATTAATCTTACTTGACAAGAATCAGGGTCATAGGAGTTAAATATATTTTTGAAATTTTCTACAAAAGATCTCTAAAATTTTAGTTTTATACTGAAAAAAATGTATTAGTAATAAATATTTATTTCAATACTATCTAAAAATTTATTTATTTGAAACTAATAATATTGATTTGACCAGAAAATTATTTATTTGATATTGAAAAATCCTTTTCAAAACAGATAAATATTTATTTGTTTTAAATAAATGCTTTATTAGACAGCACTGAAATAAATATTTATTAATTCATTAATTTTTTTCAGTGTAATATATCATAAAAAGATGTATATAATATAAATATTGTTCACAAATAAATTATTTTATTTTCTGTTTTTTTTGTTCATTATTTATTTTTGTATTAGTTTTTTTTAATTACATTTTTTTTAATTTCATATTTTACAAAGCAAAAAAACTATTTTGAAACAATAAGATTAAGATGAGATATTAATAAAATATAAAATATGGAAGTTTTTGAAATAGATATTTTATAGAAATAATTATATATCTATAAAATTTATCTATATTAAAAAGATATTTCATATGCACGACACACACATACAGAATTGTAATATGAGACGTGTCATTTATCTCTGACAGCTCATTTATCTTGACAATTCAGATAATTTATGTGTAAATAAGACAAAGTCGCAAAGCAACTTCAATAACAATGTAGAAAGAAAGAAATATCGAGTATAAGATTGTAATAATTAAAATACATTTTCATTTTTCGACACTGTATAAAGTATCATACCTAATATACGAATTTTCGGCAATTTGATCAATCTCATCTTTAACATTCTCATTTAATAATAGTCTGAATATCTTGATATTAGGATTGTTGCCCTTTTAAAAAAGCTTTTGCCACTATAATTAATGTCACATAAGAATGAGACATCTCATATATATACATATATTAATAATATATATACACTATATATTATATATAATATATATTTAATATTGTATATTATTAACAATACATATTATATATGTATTGTATGTCTGTGTATTGTGTAAAATTTCTTATTGATTTCGAATAACAAAGCTACTGTAATAAATACTTTCTGTTGTTACGAACGTCCTGCTGTCCAAGGATTAAATCCTTAGTGCATTATTCGACGAGAGCTATCAGCTGCTTTTGTCTACTTCACGGCACTATCTCTCTCAGACTCGTAATTTTCTTATATTTATTATTCTAGTTAGACTACATTCAATTGGAATCACAAGTATTGCGATATAGGCAAGCAAGTTTTGATTAAATCTTAAAACTCGTAATTTTCATAAAGTTGATCAACATATAGACAACATCCGCAACGCGGAGCATAATCCAACAACTCATTAAGTTATGTCTAATTATAAATTGTCACTAAAAACTCAACAGATTCCTTCAAATATAAGAGAACGAATCGCGCGTCAACTTTTAACAAAAACGATGAATTTATTAAAGCGGAATTAAAAAGCAGTATACATCGGTTAGGCTGTACTTTTGAATATGTGCAAATTTAACATATTGCTGTTATTAAACTCTTTTAGACAACTAGAAAGATTTTAACTTACGATTAAAAATTGTATGACGCGCGACTCGATTAATAAGTGCTTATCTATTCTCTGTCCATCTGCGTCCGACGTATCTCTCAGTATCTGATGACGAGTGCCACACCAAACGTCGAAAAACCAATGTTTAACTGTGATTTTTGAGTGAGAAAGTTGAGAAAGAAAGAGAGGGAGAGAATGCGACGCGATGCGCTTCCACGAAAGAGATTATATGAGTGCGAATGTGTGCATGACTAAAATTTGTTAACGAACACGCAATTACGGGGATTTTATTTCGAATGAAAGTAATCATAATTTAATAAATAAATATTTTGTCTAGACATTTATTTGATCGCTCCTCGATCAGTATAAAGATTATTTGTTATGTGCTACATGAAAACTATATGCTGCGATGCTTTTATGTTGTTAAAAAAAAAACTGGTTTCAAACAGCGTTCAAAAAATGTTCCTCTTGTTTACGTTAAAAGAAGAATGAATTAAAATACATTCCGTGTATCCACAATAAAATAATTTATTATTCGCGTCATTATTGCGAGTAGTCAATCTTTTCAAACTAAATTTGGATCACGAAATATTTACGATGATGAAATAAATTCGATCGGTCTTTTAATGCTGTATTCAAACGAATATTTTCTCTGATATGAAACTAATATTTTCTTTTTAATTTAATAATATAACAATAATATTTTTATTTTTTTTAGAAAAATATAATTAATTTAATTAATAATATGATTGATTATTTCAGATGTATGTGTTTTACAATTCTGAATTGAAAATTATATATGTATGATATTTTTTGCATGCTTGATATTTTGTATAATAAATATTAAAAAAAAATATATATATATATATATTTGCGCACAGAGGACTATTTAAATCTTAACGCAAACAAAACAATAAATGCAATACTTTTCAGTGTTCTATTCGTTTAAAATAAAAATTTCATATCAGAACTGTACGCAGTGCGGCAGTTTCTTTTTCATCACTTTTGACTAAAGCATTCTCCGTTTTTGCGGCTATGAAAAAATAATTGATATAATGTAATCACTATATATGTACTATTTATAAAATATTCACATGTCCTACTTCCCTTGTAATTATTGTACATTTGTTCATAGGCGCATAACCCTAACAAATTTAATGAGATGGCAAATAGTTCGGATATACATATATACATATACGTATATAAATATATATAAATATATATCTGCGTCTATTTTTGCGTAACCAAAGTTTTAGTAACTATCGATATTACGTAGCGCATCGAACTTTGTGTGTACATGACATTATAAGATGAAGAACGGCAGGAATGATGATTATTACACGAGATACTGTAACTTGTAAATAGCTTTATTATAACGCAACGTTGTAGTTACGATCGAAAGACATTTACACAATTGTCGACGCAAATTGCTCACGATTCTAATTTTTATGTTGATCTTGTGTATTTCTGGTTTTAAAATATGGTTAAAGCTTTGTATTTACTTGGCACGCGTGCGACAGTGTCATTATCTACGTCAACTCGTCGTTATTCTATCATTGTTATTCTATGTTAATCACAGTTTGATTCTTTTTAGAACCGAAATACAGCAAATCGTTTCTTACAAAAAAATTTTGCGTTATTATTTCCAAAATATCCCAGATTAATATAAAGTTTTTGATAAGACATACAAAAAGCTTCAACTCTTCACTTTTTATAATGTAATTTTATGTAGAAAATTTATTTAAAATACTTGTAATATCAAGTAAGGTAAAATGAATTTAATGAAAAATTTTATATAAAATCATTTACATAGAAAATATAAAATTGTATATTAAGTAATAAATAATTAATTATACATAATAATTAAATGTTATAGACTATATATATATTCGCGTGATGATATTTCATACTTTATTATAATATATAAATTAATATAGATCTTTATATATAATTGATATTTTATCATTTATATAAAAACCGTATATGTATACATATATAACCTTATTTCTCATATATTCATTTAGATTTAAAAAATAATATATCCACCTAAAAAAAGTATATATTTGCATTAAATCTGAGTTGGAAATCTAAAATGTTTCTATAGTATTTCATTATATACAAAATATTAAATTATGTGTAAATTGACCTATTTAACTGATATCAGTTAAACTAATATATTAGTGTATTCGCGTTTTCAATGTAAGCACGACCTTAATCACAGAGTTGTTGCTACATTGAAATAAATCATTTGCCAATATAACAGACGCGCGATCGCGCTATAAAAGCATCGATTTCCAGATATGACAACGGGCTGACAATTCACCATCATCGATAAGCTTCAATTATTTAAATTGATTTCTAACTGATAACATTTATATATCAACTTTACGGATCGCGAAACGCGCAACTGTCATTATATTATAGATCTGAATTTTAATTCTTTCTATGAAAATAGCATGAAAAATGTAAATGATATTTTTGATTTACATGTCGCGCGTTATTATCGTTTTTCCACCGCGCGAACGATTTAATATCTCGCGCAAACATATAGATACGCGATAAAAAGCGCAAAATTGACGGTAATTTAACGACAAGTTGAATAATAAAACGCGCTCTCTTACAGCGAGGAGAGGGCGTCGGTGCGGTTGGAACAAAAAGCGGAAGCAGATGCACGAGAAGTCAAGCTGGCATTGAACGGCGTTCTTGCACGTGGCGTGATCTCGCTCGTCCTTTGAGTGATTTATAGACAGCGCTGCGACTCCATCTACTTGACCTATTCACCTCGTTAGAAAGGATAATGTATTCATGAGTGGTCAACCTTTCAGCCGCGCGCGTTAGTTTCTATCGACCCGAGGAACTGCGAAATCGAATCGTAGGAAAATAGCATCCGACAAAAAGACCTTTGACTCGAATAGCGATTGCGTTTCAACTCGTGGGAGCCGATGCATTTTCTTTTCCTAGAGCGAGTATCGCGAAATATTCACTTCGTCTATATTTTCCTTTATATTGTAATATGTTTCGCTCGCAAGAAAATTAATCTCACAAAGTCCAACAAATGTGTCTTTCTCTTTCTCTCAGCATATTAATTTTCATAACATAACACATGGTACAATGTTTATCATTTCCCGTCGAATACTGTAGTCACGGTTATACTATATCTGCTGTAACGTGCTGTTCTTGGCCATGACAAGAAAGTTGCACATCAAGTACCTAGTCAAGAGTTCTCTTCCGGCAATGTTTTGCATCAGGGAAGGCATCGACGACGGTAAAAGAAAGCAGCGGCACTTACTGAAGAGTACTTCATACGGATTAGTTGGCGCCAGTGAATTCAATGGTTTCCGTTCGTTGGATGACAAACCGGTTTCATCATGCCCTTTACACTGTCTTTCATATGTATGTATGCACTATTGTTTTTATGCCATATTTAAACTGTTATATAGATTCAATTTGAATATAGCATATCGCATTATTTTTTGTATTTATTACTTAATATACGAATTATACGGTTGCAA